CCATCCCATTCATCCCATCCCATCCCATCCCATCCCATCCCATTCATCCCATCCCATCCAATTCTCATCCCATCCCATCCCCATCCCATCCCATCCATCCCATTCATCCCATCCCATCCATCCCATCCCATCCCATTACATCCCATCCCATCCAATTCTCATCCCATCTCACCCCATCCCATTCATCCCATCCCACCCCATCCCATCCACGCCATCCCACCCCATCCCATCCAATTCCCATCCCATCCCCATTCCATCCATCCCATCCCATCCAATTCATCCCATCCCCATCCCATCCAATCCATCCCATCCTATTCCATCCCACTCCACCCCAACCCATCCCATTCATCCCATCCTATTACATCCCATCCCATCCAATTCTCATCCCAACCCATCCCATCCCATCCAATTCTCATCCCATCCCATCCCCCCATCCCATCCATCCCACCCCATCCCATTCCATCCCATCCCATCCCTTTCATCCCATCCAATTCATCCCATCCCATCCCATCCCATGCAATCCCCATCCCATCCATCCCATCCCCCCCATCCCATCTAATCCATTCCATCCTAATTCCATCCCATCCCACCCCATCCCATCCCATCCAATTCTCATCCCACCCCACCCCATGCATCCCACCGCATCCCGACCTGCCGGAGCGTGTGATGCCTCAGGATGTTCTCCTGTTTGCTGACGCCGGAGCCGGCGGGCGCCGCGGTGGGGGACAGGGCTGCCTGCTGCTGCAGCCGCTGCTCGATCTCCTGCGGCACGGGACCGGCACCCACTCAGCACCCAGCACCCAGCACCCCCCTCAGCACCCAGCACCTCCTCAGCACCCAGCACCCAGCACCCTCCTCAGCACCCCCTCAGCACCCAGCACCCCCTCAGCACCCAGCACCCAGCACCCCCTCAGCACCCAGCACCTCCTCAGCACCCAGCACCCAGCACCCTCCTCAGCACCCCCTCAGCACCCAGCACCCCCTCAGCACCCAGCACCCAGCACCCCCTCAGCACCCAGCACCTCCTCAGCACCCAGCACCCCCTCAGCACCCAGCACCTCCTCAGCACCCAGCACCCCCTCAGCACCCCCTCAGCACCCAGCACCCAGCACCCCCTCAGCACCCAGCACCCAGCACCCTCCTCAGCACCCCCTCAGCACCCAGCACCCCCTCAGCACCCAGCACCCTCCTCAGCACCCCCTCAGCACCCAGCACCCCCTCAGCACCCAGCACCCTCCTCAGCACCCAGCACCCAGCACCCAGCACCCCCTCAGCACCCCGTCAGCACCCAGCACCCCCTCAGCACCCAGCACCCCCTCAGCACCCAGCACCCCCTCAGCACCCACAGCCCCCTCAGCACCCAGCACCCCCCTCAGCACCCAGCACCCCCTCAGCACCCCCTCAGCACCCAGCACCCAGCACCCCCTCAGCACCCAGCACCTCCTCAGCACCCAGCACCCCCTCAGCACCCAGCACCCCCTCAGCACCCAGCACCCCCTCAGCACCCAGCACCCTCCTCAGCACCCAGCACCCCCTCAGCACCCAGCACCCTCCTCAGCACCCAGCACCCTCCTCAGCACCCTCCTCAGCACCCAGCACCCTCCTCAGCACCCAGCAACCCTCAGCACCCAGCACCCTCCTCAGCACCCAGCACCCCCTCAGCACCCCCTCAGCAACCCCCTCAGCACCCAGCACCCTCCTCAGCACCCAGCACCCTCCTCAGCACCCCCTCAGCACCCAGCGCCCCCTCAGCACCCAGCACCCTCCTCAGCACCCCCTCAGCACCCAGCACCCCCCAAAGGCTCCTCCTTCCCCATCGGACGCATCCCAAACGGATCCTGCAGTGCATCAAGGGGCTTCCCTCTACATTCCCCCCCCATGGCCTCTAAAGGACATCCCAGCACTGATCCATCCCGGGAATGTGGAGAATTCCCTCTTTCCACACCCAAATCCACTTCCCACCCCTTCCATCACAGCCAAAAGGGAAAGGAAAGCAGCAAAAGGAGCAACCTCTCCGGCGCTCCCAAACCCACGGCAAACCCGACAGCTCCAAAGCTTGGGAATGCCGAGCTTCCAAGTGGGATCCGTGCACTCGCCTGCTCCTGCTGCAGGGCCTTGACGAAGGCGTTCTTGAGCCTGTTGGTGTGCTCGGCCTTGAGGGCCTTCTTCTGGTTGGACGTCATGCACTGCTCGCACAGGATCTTCCCGTTCTTCTCCTGCTTCCAGTGCGGGGTGAAGTCCGTGCGGCACTGGGCGCACACGAAGGGCTCCACGCGCAGCACGGAGGAGCAGCTTTTCCCTAGGGAATGCCATAAAACAGGATGGGAATGGGGCTGGGGGGGGGGAAACAGGAGGAGAAACAAGGGGCAAAACCACAACCAGCACTGGTGTCGCTGCCTCCATCCCAGGTGAAGGCAGAGAGGATGGGAAGGATCCAGGAACGGAATTCCGGGATGGTGCTGCCTCCATCCCATGTGAAGGCAGAGAGGATGGGAAGGATCCAGGAAGGGAATTCCGGGATGGTGCTGCCTCCATCCCATGGGAAGGCAGAGAGGATGGGAAGGATCCAGGAAGGGAATTCCGGGATGGTGCTGCCTTCATCCCATGTGCGGGCAGAGAGGATGGGAAGGATCCAGCAAGGGAATTCCGGGATGGTGCTGCCTCCATCCCATGTGAAGGCAGAGAGGATGGGAAGGATCCAGCAAGGGAATTCCGGGATGGTGCTGCCTCCATCCCAAGCACTGGCAGAGAGGATGGGAAGGATCCAGGAAGGGAATTCCGGGATGGTGCTGCCTCCATCCCATGGGAAGGCAGAGAGGATGGGAAGGATCCAGGAAGGGAATTCCGGGATGGTGCTGCCTCCATCCCATGTGCTCACAGAGAGGATGGGAAGGATCCAGCAAGGGAATTCCGGGATGGTGCTGCCTCCATCCCATGGGAAGGCAGAGAGGATGGGAAGGACCCAGGAAGGGAATTCCGGGATGGTGCTGCCTCCATCCCACGGGAAGGCAGAGAGGATGGGAAGGATCCAGGAAGGGAATTCCGGGATGGTGCTGCCTCCATCCCAGGCACTGGCAGAGAGGATGGGAAGGATCCAGCAAAGGGAATTCCGGGATGGTGCTGCCTCCATCCCATGTGAAGGCAGAGAGGATGGGAAGGATCCAGCAAGGGAATTCCGGGATGGGGCTGCCTCCATCCCAGGTGAAGGCAGAGAGGATGGGAAGGATCCAGCAAGGGAATTCCGGGATGGGGCTGCCTCCATCCCAGGGGAAGGCAGAGAGGATGGGAAGGATCCAGGAAGGGAATTCCGGGATGGTGCTGCCTCCATCCCAGGTGCGGGCAGAGAGGATGGGAAGGATCCAGGAAGGGAATTCCGGGATGGTGCTGCCTCCATCCCATGTGCGGGCAGAGAGGATGGGAAGGATCCAGGAAGGGAATTCCGGGATGGTGCTGCCTCCATCCCATGTGCGGGCAGAGAGGATGGGAAGGATCCAGCAAAGGGAATTCCGGGATGGTTCTGCCTCCATCCCATGTGCAGGCAGAGAGGATGGGAAGGATCCAGGAAGGGAATTCCGGGATGGTGCTGACTCCATCCCAGGTAAAGGCAGAGAGGATGGGAAGGATCCAGGAAGGGAATTCCGGGATGGTGCTGCCGCCATGATCCCGGCATTCCCAAGGGAGAAACAGGACAAGGTTTGCCCTCAACCTGATGGGGCTTGGCTTAGGAACAGCCGGAAGCGCACGGCCGCAGCCCCATAGGGCTGCACCGCCTCAATCCCATCCACCCAGCTCCCAGGGGCATCCCAATGGGATGGGAGCCGGCACCACGGGGCTGGCAGCTCCCAGGGCAATTCCAAGGCTATTCCAGGACCTTGGCACACCAAGGCCGCCAAAGCGGCTCCGACTGCTTGGGGTTGGGCTTGGGGGGGGACAACCAGGTTCTGGCCTCCTCCCGTTGCAGGCAGCCAAGCAGGGAGGAGCAGAGATCTCCCAAAGCACCCATGTGGGGTTTTCCCATCGACTCCCTAGGGGATGGGGTGGGGTGGGGTGGGATGGGGTGGATGGGATGGGATGGGATGGGGTGGATGGGATGGGATGGGATGGGGATGGGGTGGGATGGGGTGGGATGGGATGGGATGGATGGGATGGGATCGGGATGGGATGGGATGAGATGGATGGGATGGGGTGGGATGGGATGGATGGGATGGGGTGGGATTGGGTGGGATGGGATTGGGTGGATCCTATGGGATGGGATGGGGAATGGGATGGGGAATGGGATGGGATGGGATTGGGGATGGGATTGGGATGGGATGGGAATGGGATGGCATTGGAATGGGATTGGGATGGGATGGGAAATGGGATGGGGATGGGATGGGGTGGGATGGGATGGGATGGGGATGGGATGGGGATGGGATGGGATGGGATGGGGTGGGATGGGATGGGATGGGGATGGGGTGGGGATGGGATGGGATAGGATGGGATGGGGTGGGATGGGATGGGATGGGATGGGGATGGGATGGGGTGGGATGGGATAAGATGGGATGGGATGGGATGGGGTGGGGATGGGATGGGATGGGATGGGATGGGATGGGATGGGATGGGACAGCAGCACCCCGGGCGCTCACCTTGGCTGTCGATGACGCTCTGCACCACCTCCTCCAGCCCCACCATGTAGATGAACTCGCTGTTGGCCGCGCTGGGGAGGAAATGCAGGAGGGGAGCGGGGGGTTTTGGGGGGGGGATCTCCAGCAGGGTCTTTTCCAGCTGCTTCCGGAGGGCCAGCTTGGCAGCGGCTTGGGAATTGGCGGCGTCGGACAAAGCGCTGGGGCTGGGAAGGGGAGAGGAGACCCTGGCCACGGAGCCGGGCGGGAGGTGGGAGGCGAGGTTCATGTAGATGGCCGAGGAGGAGCTCCGCTGGCACGGCACGGACGAGCTGGATTGCTGGTGAGGAAGAGGAATGCGAGCTCAGGATGAAGGATCCCATCCCAAAGCGGTGCCCAGGGAGCTCCAGGCCTCTGGAATCCCATGCCCGGAGCAGGGCTGCTCGCAGGGCGCATCCCCTCCCGGCCCATTGGCGTTCCCAACGGGGACAATTCCCTCCGGAAATGTGTGGGGCTGGGAAGGATTGGGAATAACACGGGGAGGATAACCCCGCTTGTCTCGATTGGAATGCTGAGATTGGAGATCTCAGTGCCGGGCTGATCCTTAGAGCATCTCCCAGGGCCTACAGCCACCTGGAGAGGGGCTTGGATGAGGGGTTGGGATGAGCTTGAGGCTCCTTCCCAACCCAACCCATTCCAGGATTCCCTATCAGGTCAAGCCCATCCTTCCCAACCCATTCCATGATTCCCCATCATTTCAAGCCCACCCTTTCCAATCCAACCCATTCCATGTTTCCTCATCATTTCAAGCCCATCCTTCCCAACCCATTCCATGATTCCCCATCATTTCAAGCCCATCCTTCCCAACCCAACCCATTCCATGTTTCCTCATCATTTCAAGCCCATCCTTCCCAACCCATTCCATGTTTCCCCATCATTTCAAGCCCATCCTTCCCAACCCAACCCATTCCATGATTCCCCATCATTTCAAGACCATCCTTCCCAACCCAACCCATTCCATGATTCCCCATCATTTCAAGCCCATCCTTCCCAACCCATTCCATGTTTCCCCATCATTTCAAGCCCATCCTTCCCAACCCAACCCATTCCATGTTTCCCCATCATTTCAAGCCCATCCTTCCCAACCCATTCCATGATTCCCCATCAGGTCAAGCCCATCCTTCCCAACCCAACCCATTCCATGATTCCCCATCATTTCAAGCCCATCCTTCCCAACCCATTCCAGGATTCCCCATCATTTCAAGCCCATCCTTCCCAACCCATTCCATGATTCCACATCATTTCAAGCCCATCATTCCCAACCCATTCCATGATTCCCCATCATTTCAAGCCCATCCTTCCCAACCCATTCCATGATTCCTCATCATTTCAAGCCCATCCTTCCCAACCCATTCCATGTTTCCTCATCATTTCAAGCCCATCCTTCCCAACCCATTCCATGATTCCCCATCATTTCAAGCCCATCCTTCCCAACCCATTCCATGATTCCCCATCATTTCAAGCCCATCCTTCCCAACCCATTCCAGGATTCCCCATCATTTCAAGCCCATCCTTCCCAACCCATTCTATGATTCCCCATCATTTCAAGCCCATCCTTCCCAACCCAACCCATTCCATGATTCCCCATCATTTCAAGCCCATCCTTCCCAACCCATTCTATGATTCCCCATCATTTCAAGCCCATCCTTCCCAACCCAACCCATTCCATGATTCCCCATCATTTCAAGCCCATCCTTTCCAACCCAACGCATTCCATGATTCCCCATCATTTCAAGCCCATCCTTTCCAACCCAACCCATTCCATGATTCCCCATCATTTCAAGCCCATCCTTCCCAACCCATTCCAGGATTCCCCATCAGGTCAAGCCCATCCTTCCCAACCCAACCCATTCCATGATTCCCCATCATTTCAAGCCCATCCTTCCCAACCCATTCCATGTTTCCTCATCATTTCAAGCCCATCCTTCCTAACCCAACCCATTCCAGGATTCCCCATCATTTCAAGCCCATCCTTCCCAACCCATTCCATGATTCCCCATCATTTCAAGCCCATCCTTCCCAACCCAACCCATTCCATGTTTCCCCATCATTTCAAGCCCATCCTTCCCAACCCAACCCATTCCATGATTTCCCATCATTTCAAGCCCATCCTTCCCAACCCAACCCATTCCATGATTCCCCATCATTTCAAGCCCATCCTTCCCAACCCAACCCATTCCAGGATTCCCCATCATTTCAAGCCCATCCATCCCAACCCATTCCATGTTTCCCCATCATTTCAAGCCCATCCTTCCCAACCCAACCCATTCCAGGATTCCCCATCATTTCAAGCCCATCCTTCCCAACCCATTCCATGATTCCCCATCATTTCAAGCCCATCCTTCCCAACCCATTCCTGGATTCCCCATCATTTCAAGCCCATCCTTCCCAACCCATTCCATGATTCCCCATCATTTCAAGCCCATCCTTCCCAACCCATTCCATGTTTCCCCATCATTTCAAGCCCATCCTTCCCAACCCAACCCATTCCATGATTTCCCATCATTTCAAGCCCATCCTTCCCAACCCATTCCATGATTCCCCATCATTTCAAGCCCATCCTTCCCAACCCAACCCATTCCAGGATTCCCCATCATTTCAAGCCCATCCATCCCAACCCATTCCATGTTTCCCCATCATTTCAAGCCCATCCTTCCCAACCCATTCCATGTTTCCCCATCATTTCAAGCCCATCCTTCCCAACCCATTCCATGATTCCCCATCAGGTCAAGCCCATCCATCCCAACCCATTCCATGATTCCCCATCATTTCAAGCCCATCCTTCCCAACCCATTCCATGTTTCCCCATCATTTCAAGCCCATCCTTCCCAACCCAACCCATTCCATGATTTCCCATCATTTCAAGCCCATCCTTCCCAACCCAACCCATTCCATGATTCCCCATCATTTCAAGCCCATCCTTCCCAACCCAACCCATTCCAGGATTCCCCATCATTTCAAGCCCATCCATCCCAACCCATTCCATGTTTCCCCATCATTTCAAGCCCATCCTTCCCAACCCAACCCATTCCAGGATTCCCCATCATTTCAAGCCCATCCTTCCCAACCCATTCCATGATTCCCCATCATTTCAAGCCCATCCTTCCCAACCCATTCCATGTTTCCCCATCATTTCAAGCCCATCCTTTCCAACCCAACCCATTCCATGTTTCCCCATCATTTCAAGCCCATCCTTCCCAACCCAACCCATCCCATGATTCCCCATCATTTCAAGCCCATCCTTTCCAACCCAACCCATTCCATGATTCCCCATCATTTCAAGCCCATCCTTCCCAACCCATTCCATGATTCCCCATCAGGTCAAGCCCATCCTTTCCAACCCAACCCATTCCAGGATTCCCCATCATTTCAAGCCCATCCTTCCCAACCCATTCCATGATTCCCCATCATTTCAAGCCCATCCTTCCCAACCCATTCCATGATTCCCCATCATTTCAAGCCCATCCTTCCCAACCCAACCCATTCCATGATTCCCCATCATTTCAAGCCCATCCTTCCCAACCCATTCCATGATTCCCCATCATTTCAAGCCCATCCTTTCCAACCCAACCCATTCCATGATTCCCCATCATTTCAAGCCCATCCTTCCCAACCCAACCCATTCCATGATTCCCCATCATTTCAAGCCCATCCTTCCCAACCCATTCCATGTTTCCCCATCATTTCAAGCCCATCCTTCCCAACCCATTCCATGTTTCCCCATCATTTCAAGCCCATCCTTCCCAACCCATCCCATGATTCCCCATCATTTCAAGCCCATCCTTCCCAACCCATTCCATGTTTCCCCATCATTTCAAGCCCATCCTTCCCAACCCATCCCATGATTCCCCATCATTTCAAGCCCATCCTTTCCAACCCATCCCATGATTCCCCATCATTTCAAGCCCATCCTTCCCAACCCAACCCATTCCAGGATTCCCCATCATTTCAAGCCCATCCTTCCCAACCCATTCCATGTTTCCCCATCATTTCAAGCCCATCCATCCCCTCCCCTTGGCGTGTGTCCTCCTGCGACCTCCACGCCGAGCGCTGGGCGCTCTCCCCATTCCCATCGGAAGGGCGGGATGGGACCTTACTGGCTGGTAGTTGATGGCTGGATTCATGCTGGGCGTCGTGGTCCGGATGAGGCCGGGTTTGGGAGGCCCCCTCTGGCCCTGGAGCTGGGCAGGGCTGGGAGCGATCACGCGCTGGGACATGAGCATGTGGGGCAGGGTGGTGGTGCTGGCCGAGCGGATGACGCTGTGACCCTGGATGGGGGGGGAGAAGCAAGGCCTGAGGGCATTCCCGTTCCTCGGAATGCTGCTCCAGGAACTCCGTGCTCCTTGATGACCCGGAGGGCCGAAGCCTCGTGGTCACCTATCCCTGGTTTCTGAGTCAAGGGAAGGGGTGGGAATCTCATGGAGCGACTGCTTCCCATGAGCCAGGGACTTCCAGGATCTGGGATGGGATGGCTTGGAAGTTGTTGCCAAGCCCCACATCCTGGCAGCGCTCAAGGCCAGGCTGGATGGGGCTTGGAGCAAGCTGGACTACAGGAAGGGGGTTGGAGCTGGATGAGCTTTAAGCTCCCTTCAATCCAATTCCATGCTCCTGTGATCCTGGGTTAATCCATATGGAGAAACAAGAAGGGAAAAACGGGATTGAGGAGCACGGAGCTCTTCCAGCCGGGATTCACACCGCTGCTGGAGCTCCACATGGAATGGGTCTAAGAGGGCTGCTCCCAGGGAAGGGAGCTTGTTGGGGCAGGAATGCAGGGGCCTGTTTCACACCTCGATCCCAGGCGATCCCAACCATCACCCCGGGATTGGGAAGCCCCGGAGCAGAGGCTTCTCCCAATGGCTCCAATGGGAACAGAGAGGTCCGACAGCTCAATCCCCTCATGGAAGCACCTCCTGCCCGGCAGCCTCTTCCCTTCCTCCCCGTGCCCTTCAGCTGCTTCCCGGGATGCTGCATCCCAAAGGAAAGGCTCCCAAAGCCAGGGCAAACAAGGAGCTTCCTTCAGCAGCCCCATCCCACAACGGGCCTGAGCCCGGCTCGTTGCCATAGCAAAGCCAACACCCATCCCAAACAAAGGGAATTGGGAATGCTGGGAGGGAAGGAAGGAAGGAGCAGGAGGCAGGGGGATGCGCTGCATCCCGCATCCCTATTCCAACGTGGAGGCAGGAAGGGATAAAGCCCGTTCCCGGAGCTCATGGAACACTCGGAGTATCCCAAAGCCCCATAAAGAGCCCCAGAGGCGGCATTCCCAAATGGGACAGATCCCAAGGCAGCTCCTTCCACATCACACAAGCCAGGGCATCACCTGGAGCGGCCTCCATCCATCCCCATGCGCATCCATGAGCTGCTCCGTGGGGATGGCTGAGCCTGGAGGAGGCTCCTGAAGGGAAACCTGGGAAGGGGCCTCGGAGAAGGGATGGAGGGGCAGGAAAAGGGGAATGATTGATTCCATGATTCCTCTTAGGTGAGAGGGAACTTCCCAGCCCAAGCGTGCGTCACCAGGCTCACGGTGCCGGGAACCCCTTGGAGCCGGCGTCTCCATAGGGAAGGGATGTTGGGAATTCTCACCTGTAATGTCCTTAGGTTCTGAGGCTCAACCCCCTGAGCTCCAGGCCTGGAGGGCAGCTTGGACAGTCCCTGCTGTCCCACGTGAGCAGGAGAAGGCTGGACGATGGAGGCCGCGTTCTGCACCACGGGAGTCTGCGTGGGGAGCAAAGGAGAGGCGGCATCAGGGATGCAATTCCATGCCCGGAGCCAGCCCCCTCCTCATCCTCATCCAGCCCCATGGGATGCTTCACCTTCTGCACCACGTTCTCCTTCTGCAGCTGGCTTTGCCTCAGCTTCTTCAGCAGCACCAGCCTGGCCTCCTCGAGCCGCAGCTCATCCCGGAGCTGCTTGATGAGCTGCTGCCTCTCCTCTATGCTCTTCCCCTAGGGAGAGATCCCAAATCCCATTCACCTTCCCGGCAGCGGGAAGAGCACGACGATGCTTTCCTCCATGGATCAGCAGGGATGGTGATGCCCCAAAGGTGTCCCCCCGTCATCCCCCCCTTCCAAATCCCAGCAGTGGAATGGCTCCGTGCTGGAGCATCCATCAGGAAAAGCAGGCTCTTCCCTACCTTGAACATCTCCAGGTTGGCTGCCTTGAGGCGCTCTTCCATGCGGGAGCTGGAACGGGGGCTGGAGGCTTCGTTGTCGGAGAGGACGATGATGTCCGGGGATGGGGTCAATCGGCCCCTGTCCTGCTCGCTGCGGGGGGGGTGTAAGGATAAAGGTGGGAATATGGAGCCAGGAGGAACGGATCCCGAGTGGAATAACCCCCCCCCAATCACCAGGGATGCGAACTGGAGCTCGGCACCGTGCTCCGTGCCCATAGAGAGCCGGGATGGAAGAAGGGAAAAGCCACGTTGGAATGGGGTTTCCTGCCCTGGGATAAGGGGAAGGTGTGGGAAGCAAACCCCATTCCGAGGAAGGAGGCACTAATAAAAGCCTTCTGCTGTTCCAAATGGAAGGAAATGCTTGGAAAACCTTGGGAATTGTGCACTAAGGCAGTGTGAAGCACTGAGGCCCGTGGGGGCTCAGCACCACCGGGAGGTCTCTGCCCTGAGGCTGCAGCAGGAGGCGCATGGATGATCCGATCCCAAGTTTTTGGCTTCCAAGAGGAAGCCCGGAGCTGAATCCAAGCTTCCAGGCTTGGCTGCTCCGAGGGCAATGGGATGCTCAGAGTGGGAATGTGGCTCCCAGCGTCTTGGCTTCATCTCCCAGGCGGTTGCATGGAATTCCAGGGCACATCCACCCGCAAACCTCATCCATACGGAGATCCCAGCTGGAAAAGCACCCCCAGCAGCGTGGCTCCACCCCATCCGAACCAACAGGGAGGAATCATCTGACCCCAGACTGTGATCCCCAGCTATCCCATTCCTGCAGGATCCCAAGGCTTTTCCAGCTGCTCCATCCCGGAGCACAGGAGAAGGTGGCGTGGTCCAGAGCATCCCGTGGATGCCAGTGGGCCCCGCTCCATCCACACAACCCATCCTGCATCCCAGTGGGTTCGATTCAGCTTTCCAAGGGGAAAAGCTGCTGTTGGATGGGATGAACACGTGCTGATCACATGGATCCTGCCGGAACCAATCCCAAGCCTCGGGATGCGCTTCCACTGAGGAACAGCATCCCAACCTCTTGGGTTAGAGGGACGGAAGGCAACTAAGCCTTGAGCCCAGCGGGGCTTCCTCCTCCTCCAGCATCCTTGGATACAGCTCAGGGATACCTGGAGTTGTAAAGGATCACGTTGGGATGGATGTGCTGGTACCCAACGGGATGTGCTGGTACCCAACTGGATGTGCCGGTACCCAACGGGATGTGCCGGTACCCAACGGGATGTGCTGGTACCCAACTGGATGTGCCGGTACCCAACGGGATGTGCTGGTACCCAACGGGATGTGCTGGTACCCAACGGGATGTGCCGGTACCCAACGGGATGTGCTGGTACCCAACTGGATGTGCTGGTACCCAACTGGATGTGCCGGTACCCAACGGGATGTGCTGGTACCCAACGGGATGTGCCGGTATCCAACTGGATGTGCCGGTATCCAACTGGATGTGCCGGTACCCAACTGGATGTGTTCGTACCCAACTGGATGTGCCGGTACCCAACTGGATGTGCCGGTACCCAACTGGATGTGCCGGTATCCAACTGGATGTGCCGGTATCCAACAGGATGTGCCGGTACCCAACGGGATGTGCCGGTACACAACGGGATGTGCCAGTACCCAACGGGATGTGCCGGTACCCAACGGGATGTGCCGGTACCCAACTGGATGTGCTGCACCCAACTGGATGTGCCGGTACCCAACTGGATGTGCCAGTACCCAACGGGATGTGCCGGTACCCAACTGGATGTGCTGCACCCAACTGGATGTGCCGGTACCCAACTGGATGTGCTGCACCCAACTGGATGTGCTGCACCCAACTGGATGTGCTGCACCCAACTGGATGTGCTGCACCCAACTGGATGTGTTCATACCCAACTGGATGTGCTGCACCCAACCGGATGTGCTGCACCCAACTGGATGTGCCGGTACCCAACTGGATGTGCCGGTACCCAACTGGACGTGCTGGCACCCAACTGGATGTGTTCGTACCCAACAGGATGTGCTGGTATCCAACTGGATGTGCCGGTACCCAACGGGATGTGCCGGTACCCAAATGGATGTGCTGGTACCCAACGGGATGTGCTGGTACCCAACGGGATGTGCTGGTACCCAACTGGACGTGCCGGTACCCAACGGGATGTGCTGGTACCCAACTGGATGTGCTGGTACCCAACGGGATGTGCCGGTACCCAACTGGATGTGCTGCACCCAACTGGATGTGCCAGCACCCAACTGGATGTGCCAGCACCCAACTGGATGTGCTGCACCCAACTGGATGTGTTCATACCCAACTGGATGTGCTGCACCCAACTGGATGTGTTCATACCCAACTGGATGTGCTGCACCCAACTGGATGTGCCGGTACCCAACTGGATGTGCTGCACCCAACTGGATGTGCTGCACCCAACTGGATGTGCCGGTACCCAACTGGATGTGCTGCACCCAACTGGATGTGCTGCACCCAACTGGATGTGCCAGCATCCAACTGGATGTGCTGCACCCAACTGGATGTGCTGGCACCCAACTGGATGTGCCGGTACCCAACTGGATGTGCCGGTACCCAACTGGATGTGCTGCACCCAACTGGATGTGCCAGCATCCAACTGGATGTGCTGCACCCAACTGGATGTGCCAGCATCCAACTGGATGTGCTGCACCCAACTGGATGTGCCAGCATCCAACTGGATGTGCTGCACCCAACTGGATGTGCCGGTACCCAACTGGATGTGCCGGTACCCAACTGGACGTGCCAGTACCCAACTGGATGTGCAGTATCTTACACCCAGAGCCATCACTCCCACATTTAGCACCTCAGAAGCTTAACCCCCTTTGCCAAGTGGCTGAGTGCCACCCACACTGGGGCACCCCTTGGGTTTTGGGGGAGAACTGTGCTTTCCAGAGGAGCAACACCCCCATGATGGCCTCGGAGCAGGACCCAGGTGAACCCACAGGGTGCTGGGTGCACCCAGATGCCCCCCCAGGAGGACACTTACACCCTCGAGAACAACAGCACCGACGAAGGATGCTCCATAGGCCAAAGGGTGACAGAGGGTCTCACATTCGCTATAGCACCCAGAGGGAGCATGGAGATCCTTCCCCTTCCAGTCCCCCATCCCGGTTGGAACACCGGCATCTACATCCAGAGCCCAGCTCTGCATGGGAAGGACCAGCAGCTCCTTCCCGTTGGGATGAAGGGACCTTTCCAGCTTGGACCAGATTGCTCCAAGCTCCATCCCACCCGGCCCTACGGCTGCACCTTTCAATGCCCAACACAGGGATGCAGGAGCCACAGAATCCATGCGGATGCGGGCTGGAATAAGCAGCAAAGCCAACAGCAGCTGACAGCAAGCTCTGCTCCTCCTGCCTCCATCCAATGGGGACCCCCCCCCCCCCCAAAAAAAGGTCCATTTGACACCCTCAAAAGCAAGAGAAAGGGAGCACCCACCTCCTCCTGGCGCTCATATCCACGGGCTCCTCATTGATGTTCTCCTTGCCCGGCCTCCCCCCGGTCCTGCCGTCGCCGTGGGGCCGGAGGCTCCCGTTGAGCTTTTCCTCGTAGCCCTTCCCGGCGTCCGGCTTCACGGCCAGCTCGTGGGGGACGTCGAGCCCGGCCAGGTCTTTCCTCTTGAGCAGGGCCAGCATCTTGAGGCGCTCCATGGCCTCGTGCCCTTCCATCTTCAGCCTCTTGGCCAGGACGTCGTCGCGCTCCTCGGCCTGGTCCAGGCTCCGCTTGAGCAGGTTGAGGCGCAGAGCATCCTCCGTCATCCTGTCCATCCTGCGGGATACGGGGCACCGTCAATGGGAGGCACGGAGCGACCGCCCCCCCACTGCATCCCAGATCCCAAAGCAAGGGGAAGGAAGGGCCGCAGGCTTCCGGCATCCCGAATTCCCTTGGGAACGGCGGATACAAGCCTAGAGGCAGCAATGAACCACCACTGGGCGCAACCCAAGTGGCTCGGGATCCTTTAGGATCACCAGGGCGAGGCCACCACAGCGTTAAGCCCGTTGGCAAGGGGAGATGGGAAGCTCAAAGGCTTCATTCCATGGCTTTTTCCCCTTCGGATGGGGACCCGAGGCCCGGATTGAGCATCCCAAGAGCTGCCCAAGGACCGTCCCCTTGCGTGGGTGAGGAATGCGGGATGGAGGCACCCCCCCTTCCCCATCCCTGCTCCCTCTCCCAGGGCTGGGAATGCCGCTGGGAGACAGAAGCAGGCAGGAGGCAGAGCCCAGCCCCATCACCCTGCTCCGGCTGCACCCATCGGGAAGAGCCAAGGGAATTCCACCTGGGAACAGGGGAAGATGGGGACGGACACCGGGAGCAGCTCCTAAAGGGGGCTACAGGAAACCTGGAGACAAGGGCATGATCCCAAGGGCTACCTGCGGGAATCCCTATGGAAAAGCAGGAAAACTCCATCCCAGCCCCTCGGCACGGCTTTTCCCTACCGGAACGTGCACGGCGGCGGCAACCCAATGGAGCCGGACAAGCGGGGGCAAGCCCGGGAGCCACCTGCGCCGTTGCTATTCCAGCCCCAGGGAATGCTGGGGGGGTCAAGGAGCTGGAGAAGGGAAAGGGCTGCGGGATAGGGAGAGGCTGCGGTCGGGATGCCAGGGATGCGCCTGGGAGATGAAAGGAGGAGGAGGAGGAGGGGCAGGGAAAGGGAGCCCCAACCCTCATGGGTGATTCCCATCGGGAAGCTGCTTCATCCCGAGGGAACGAGCTCCGCGTCGAGGTGTAAAGCGAATGGATCCCTTCCGTACGGCTCGGATGGGAGCAGCTTGAACCCTTCCAGCCCATAGCATTCCATAAGGGAGGAAGCAGCGCGCCGGGACGCAGACAGGGAATATCCCGGTGGGAAAAGAAGGCCTCGGCCAACAAGCACCAAGGGAACACCCCAGCAGCATCCACTTGTTGCTTTCCCCGCCATTCCAGGATTCGGGAATCCCTCAGCCTGCTGCTGGGATCCCACTGGCAAGGATGGAGGCCCCGGGCTCATCCCAAACCGGACCATCCGGCCTCACCCCCTCCGGCAGCCGGCATTCCCTAAGGATCTGCCGTTATCCCATGAGGGAAGCCCGGGGTGTATCCCTGCGGATCCAGGCTGGAATCGCCTCTGGAGCCGATTCCAAGCTAAAGGTGAAGCATGGCAAGAACGAGCTTCCAATCCCCACATCCAACACCATTCCCATCGATCCAACCCTCCTCGTGCCTGTATCCCAGCCCCTAAGCAGGAGCCCGCTCCCATCTGCATCCCCTCGCTCGGAGCCACCCATTCCCAGTGGCCGGCTTTAACCCCCAGCATCCCTACGGAGAGCACCGGGAACGCTGCAGGATCGGGCCCCTGCGCATCCATGGATGGGAATTCCCTCCCTGGAACAAGCAGAGCCCTATGGAGCAGGAGGAGCCTGCATGGGAGCTCCCATCGGGAATGGGGTGCAGAGCTTGGGCCATGGGCAACGACCCCAACCGGACGGAGCCATCTCCGGCAGCATTCCAAAGCCTTGGAAAAGGACGGAGCCCGGCGATCCCGGTGAGTCCCAACCGGCTCTTCCAAGGCATCCCTCAGGTCCTAAGCGCAAGGGGAGCTGATCCCACCGGAGCCACTCTACGGCAGCATCACGCAGGCGCTGGGGTACCGGGATCGGGAATGATTCCCTTCCCATCGCAGGGAAGGAGCCCAGGATCGCAATCCGGGATCACTCGGAGCCGTGAGCATTCCAAACGGGATCATGGAGCCCGCTCCTAACCCACGGCAGAGCCTCGAGGCCATCCCAATGCGCTCGGCCATAGCGGAAAGCCCGTCTTCCCTACGGATGGGCTCCTCATCCCGAGCATCCCACGGGATGGAGCCGCTCCGGTGTCTCCAGCTGGCACGGAAAAGGAGCCAAGGTCTCGGCACAGCCACACAAAATGGCTGTCTCCCATTCCCAAACAACATTCCCGACTGGATCAGGACCTAGCCAGGGAATTCCCGACATTCCCACCTGCGGAGAAGAGCTTGGGCCAGCACCGAGGCAGAAGCAAAGCCGCCCTCCTGCTCCTTGCATCCCCATGCTGCCCATTGGAAGTTGTCGGGAATACCACAGGGAGGAGGAACTGGCCATGCAGGTAAGGCCGGAGCAGGGATTTAAAGGAATACCGAGCCCCAAATCCAGCTTGGAACAAAGAGGAAAGAGCTGAGAGCCCTTAAACCCAGGGTGGGGTGTGGGGGGGGGGGAAAGCTTTTCCCAGCTTCCCAAGGGGAATAAATGGGAGACAAAGGAGGTGTTTTAGCGGAGAACCGGGAGGGATTCCAATGGGATCAGGGCTGCAGCAGCAGCAACAGTTCCGCTCTTCCCGGTGGGACATCCCGCTGGGAGAGCCGAGCCCACGGTGCCAAGGCCACGTTCCCGACATCCATAGGGATGCAGGGACGGAGGCAACAGCGGCGAGGCCGGCGCGGAGCATCCCGGGATGAGTTTGGGATAGGGGGCAGGGGATCCCAACCTTGGGATGCGGTGGGATGAAGGCAGCTTTAAGCTGGACCAGGATGCTCCAAGCCCCATCCAGCACCGCCGGGGATGGGGCATCCAAACCTGCTCCCTCCGTCCCATCCCGGGATCCCATCACGCTCAACAGGGAATGACTTCAGCCTCAGGCCCCCTATCCAGCAGCTTAAAGCCATTCCCCTTCTCCTATCCCTATATCCCTTCTCCAAAGCCTCTTCCCAGGTTTTTCCAACCCCCCCCCCTTTCTCCTAAGTTTGCTTTCAGCCAACTTCCTTCTGGGATCATCCAGCACCAGGGACACCATTCCCTGCTCCATAAACCCTCGGGAAAGCTGCTCCTCAGCGGGAATACCGCCCGTGTCCCTCATATCCATCTAGCCACGGATCCATACACACATATCCATAAGGAATTGGCCAGCAATTGGGAAGATGCTGCTGGAAAACGCTCCCCCCCCCCCCCACCAATGGAACAGCAGGAATACAGGAGGCAGAAAAAGGGGGGGGGGGGGGGAACGGAGCCTTCACCTCCACCCTCCTCCTCCTCCTCCCATGCCCATTCCAACCGGGAATGACGCAGGCTTCCTTATATAATGCGCCGCGATTCCCTCGACTGCGGCCCTGCCTTTGTGCGCGCCGCTGGCCGGGAGCCATAGACACACATGGGGGGGGGGGGATTAAAATCATTCACGGAGTCATTAACAGCATCCCATTAATTAGGGGGGGGGGAAAGGGAAGGGAAGCACGGAATTCCTTGGATTTGCTTCGGTACCTGCGGCGCTGGTTGGGGACGGGGGTGGGAGGAATTCCAATGGAGAGAGGTGGGAAGGGTGGGATTGGGATGGGGAAGGGGGGGGGGGAAGCGTTGAGCGAGGCCCGGCGTGGAGTTGGCAAATCCCATGGGATGGATCCCGAAGGGAATACTCACAGGTCCGGGCTCCCCGGCGCCGCCTCCTCGACTTGCCAAGAGGCTCAAGGAGCCAAGGGAAGAGGGGCAGGGGCAGAGAGGAGCCTTCGGGAAGAGCAGGAGGAAGAGGCAGGGATTTGGGATGGGGATGAGGGGAGGCGGCCCCGTGTGCCATCCCCCTCCCGGCAGCGATCCCGATCCCAAGCCCGGCTCCGAGCGGGCACTCGCCTGCCAATCATGCGCCGTGACTGGTGGAGGAAACAAAAGAAAAGGGGGGATGCTCTCCCGGATTCCCGGCATGCCTTGCGGGAAGCGGGGGGGGGGGGGGAAGGCAAAAAAAGAGGGAAAAAAAATCGGGAAAAGAGCCAGGCGGAGGCGGTTTGGGAGCAAGGATTGGGGGGGGGGGGGGGTTGGGATCGGCTCTTTGGAAGAGGTCATGGATTGGGATGCATGGAAAAGGAACCCCCCCCCCCATTTTCCATCTCCGCCACCCCATGCTTGGCCCCCAGCCAAAGTTTGGCTTCATTCATGAGAGCCGGGGTTTTAACCCCTTGGTGGCCAAATCCTTCCCAAGCGGAAGAGCGCATCCCGAGGCCTCGGCAGCACCGGGATCAGGGAAGAGGAAGAGGGAGGAAGGCAAAGGAAAGGGATGCGGCCCCCATCGGCGCAGGGATGCGGGGCTCCCGGTCGCGGGTACCAAGGCGATGCTGGAGCAGCTCCCAAAGGGGCTCTCGGGAAGCTGGGCTTTGGGAAAGGGATGGAGGGGTGGGATAACGGGAATGGGGATGGGATCTGAGGGAGCTCTTCCCTGGGAGGGACACGGGGATGGTCCCGGTGAAGCAAAGCTTCACGTACCCGAATATCCACCGTTAACATGGGCAGGAATGGGGGAAAAGGCTCAAATCCAAGGGTCGGGAATGCCATTATCCCGTATTCCCCTTGGATTGGGGCACCGGCCCTCAGCTCCTGCACCACGATCCAAAGGGAAAGGGCTCCTTCCCGGAGCACTCTGCTCTAAGCCCCTTCCATTCCCGAGGCAGTTGGAGGCTTTTCCAAAGGGAATGGCCACGTTATCCCAATCCAAACCCAACGGGAAGCAGCATCCCAACGGGTTCCGATGGCGCTGGAACCTTCCAGGTTGCGATTCCCAAAGGGGAAATGGATCTCCGTATCTCGAAGGAAGCCCACAGCCTCCAACAGGCAACGGATGCTCCCGAGGGAATTCCCATCCATGCTTCCACGTGTTCCATCCATGGGAAACGCTCCTCAGGTGCCACCAGCATCCCAGCCCCAGCGTTCCCTTCCCTGCTGCTCTCCCGACCGCATTCCTTGGGTCCCATCCCGAAGCCGATCCATGGAAAACCTGGAATTGGGATGCTTTCCTGCCCCTGTCTCCCAGCATTCCGGCCTCAGCGCCACGCTTCCAAAGCTGGAATGTGGTCCCCGGGTCCATGCACGACGCTCGGGGCATGGTCACTGCATCCCTGGATCGCTCATCCCATTGGAGCATCCATGAAGAGGCCTTTGATGGCTGCTGCTTCCCAAAGCCAAGCCATTCCCTGCCTGAGGAATCCCGCCCCGTGCCCATCTTCTCCTCATCCAAGTGAGGGTTCGGCATTCCAGGTACCGCGAGCCGAAAAGCGGGATGCGAGCTCCCGTTGGGATGGGATACTGGGAAAGATGGAATTCCCAAGGCACCTGATAAGGGATTAAGGTACCCGGGGGTCCAGGGTGAGCTCCCGCCACCCTCCTGCCTCACATCCCGTCGCCATCCCTTATCCAAAGCCTTTCTCCAGGATTCCCGGAGCCCCTGGGAGCTGCTCCAAGCTCATTCCCAACATTGGGAATGCCTCCATCGCCTTTAAGCACCCGGAAGCGGGCCGAGCGTTGCAGGGATGCAGGAGCAGCAGAGAGGGATGGATGGATGGGGCAGCATTCCCAAGGGATCCACCGCAGCTCCGCGTCGCTTCCAACCTCCCGGAGCAGTTCCCGGATCCGATCCCTTCCTTTTGCTGGCTTTGGGAATCTCCATCCCTCCTCCTGAGCTGAGGACAGGGATGAGCACAGCACTTCCATGGGTTAATCCCAACCTGATCCCTAAACTCATCCCAAATCTGGGTTTAACACAGCCTAAGGGAGCTGGGCTCCATCCCTCAACTCCAATCCCAACAGGTTATTCCCAACGGGAAGCCGCTCCATCCCGAGGCCAGGAGCAGCCATGGGCAGGGGCCCAGCAGCATCCAGGGATACCCAACGTTATCCAGGATTAAGACAGAAGTTAAGGGAAAAGGGGAAAACACCTGAGGTTGGGCCGGACTTCCCATTGGGAAACCCTCCGGAAGCCCGCATCCGCCTCAGCATTCCCATTGATAAGTAGGGATCTCTGCTTGGAAGCAGCCGGGCTCCATCCAAGCCATTGCATGATTCCATAGGGAGAAGATGCAGCCTCCACTCGACCCCTTCCAGTGCAAATCCCGGCATTCCCGGGATCGCTTCCAGCCATTCCATGCATGGGAATTCCCATCAACAGCCTGGTCCCTCCTTGACCACGGGCATCAGATGGAGCCATCTCCATGTGGAGATCAGGGAATCAAGCAGGAGGGAAAGGGGTGGAAAAGGGGTGGGAAAGGGGTGGGAAAGGGGTGGGAAAGGGGTGGGAAAGGGGTGGGAAAGGGGTGGAAAAGGGGTGGAAAAGGGGTGGAAAAGGGGTGGAAAAGGGGTGGAAAAGGGTGGAAAAGGGGAGGAAAAGGGGTGGAAAAGGAGGTGGAAAAGGGGTGGAAAAGGGGAGGAAAAGGGGTGGAAAAGGGGAGGAAAAGGGGGTGGAAAAGGGGTGGAAAAGGGGTGGAAAGGGGGTGGAAAGGGGGTGGAAAAGGGGTGGAAAAGGAGGGTGGAAAAGGGGTGGAAAAGGAGGGTGGAAAAGGGGTGGAAAAGGGGTGGAAAAGGGGTGGAAAGGGGGTGGAAAGGGGGTGGAAAGGGGGTGGAAAAGGGGTGGAAAAGGAGGGTGGAAAAGGAGGGTGGAAAAGGAGGGTGGAAAAGGGGTGGAAAGGGGGTGGAAAGGGGGTGGAAAAGGAGAGTGGAAAAGGGGTGGGAAAGGGGTGGAAAAGGGGTGGAAAAGGGGTGGAAAAGGGGTGGAAAAGGGGTGGAAAAGGGGTGGAAAAGGGGTGGAAAAGGGGTGGAAAAGGGGTGGAAAAGGGGTGGAAAAGGAGGGTGGAAAAGGGGTGGAAAAGGGGTGGAAAAGGGGGTGGAAAAGGGGGTGGAAAAGGAGGGTGGAAAAGGGGTGGAAAAGGGGTGGAAAAGGGGTGGAAAAGGGGTGGAAAGGGGTGAAAGGGGTGAAAAGGGGTGAAAAGGGGTGGAAAAGGGGTGGAAAAGGGGTGGAAAAGGGGTGGAAAAGGGGTGGAAAAGGGTGGAAAAGGGTGGAAAAGGGGGTGTAAAGGGGGAGTAAAAGGGGTGGAAAAGGGGTGGAAAAGGGGTGGAAAAGGGGTGGAAAAGGGGTGGAAAAGGGGTGGAAAAGGGGTGGAAAAGGAGGGTGGAAAAGGAGGGTGGAAAAGGAGGGTGGAAAAGGGGTGGAAAGGGGGTGGAAAAGGGGTGGAAAAGGGGTGGAAAAGGGGGTGGAAAAGGAGAGTGGAAAAGGAGAGTGGAAAAGGGGTGGAAAAGGAGAGTGGAAAAGGGGTGGAAAAGGGGTGGAAAAGGGGTGGAAAAGGGGGTGGAAAGGGGGTGGAAAAGGGGTGGAAAGGGGGTGGAAAGGGGGTGGAAAGGGGGTGGAAAAGGGGTGGAAAAAGGGTGGAAAAAGGGGTGGAAAAGGGGGTGGAAAAAGGGGTGGAAAAGGGGTGGAAAAGGAGGGTGGAAAAAGGGGTGGAAAAAGGGGTGGAAAAGGGGTGGGAAAGGGGTGGAAAGGGGGTGGGAAAGGGGTGGGAAAGGGGTGGGAAAGGGGTGGGAAAGGGGTGGGAAAGGGGTGGGAAAGGGGTGGGAAAGGGGTGGGAAAGGGGGTGGAAAGGGGGTGGAAAGGGGGTGGAAAAGGGGTGGAAAAGGGGTGGAAAAGGGGAGGAAAAGGGGAGGAAAAGGGGAGGAAAAGGGGAGGAAAAGGGGAGGAAAAGGGGAGGAAAAGGGGAGGAAAAGGGGAGGAAAAGGGGGTGGAAAAGGGGTGGAAAAGGGGTGGAAAAGGGTGGAAAAGGGTGGAAAAGGGTGGAAAAGGGGTGGAAAAGGGGTGGAAAAGGGGTGGAAAAGGGGTGGAAAAGGGGTGGAAAAGGAGAGTGGAAAAGGAGAGTGGAAAAGGGGTGGGAAAGGGGTGGAAAGGGGGTGGAAAAGGGGTGGAAAAGGGGTGGAAAAGGGGTGGAAAGGGGGTGGAAAGGGGGTGGAAAAGGGGTGGAAAAGGAGAGGAAAAGGAGAGGGAAAGGGGTGGGAAAGGGGTGGAAAGGGGTGGAAAGGGGGTGGAAAGGGGGTGGAAAGGGGGTGGAAAAGGGGTGGAAAAGGGGTGGAAAAGGGTGGAGAAGGGGGTGGAAAAGGGGTGGAAAAGGGGTGGAAAAGGGGTGGAAAAGGGGTGGAAAAGGGGTGGAAAAGGGGTGGAAAAGGAGGGTGGAAAAGGGGTGGAAAGGGGGTGGGGGGTGGAAAGGGGTGGAAAAGGGGTGGAAAAGGGGTGGAAAAGGGGTGGAAAAGGGGTGGAAAAGGGGTGGAAAAGGGGTGGAAACGGGGTGGAAACGGGGGTGGAAAAGGGGTGGAAAAGGGGTGGAAAGGGGGTGGAAAAGGGGTGGAAAAGGGGTGGAAAAGGGGTGGAAAAGGGGTGGAAAAGGGGTGGAAAAGGGGGTGGAAAAGGAGAGGGGAAAAGGAGAGTGGAAAGGGGGTGGAAAAGGAGAGGGGAACTGGGGGGGAAAAGGGGTGGAAAGGGGGTGGAAAGGGGGTGGAAAAGGGGGTGGAAAAGGGGTGGAAAAGGGGTGGAAAAGGGGTGGAAAAGGGGTGGAAAAGGGGTGGAAAAGGGGTGGAAAAGGGGTGGAAAAGGGGTGGAAAGGGGTGGAAAGGGGGTGGAAAGGGGGTGGAAAGGGGGTGGAAAGGGGTGGAAAGGGGTGGAAAGGGGTGGAAAAGGGGTGGAAAAGGGGTGGAAAAGGGGTGGAAAAGGGGTGGAAAAGGAGGGTGGAAAAGGGGTGGAAAAGGAGGGTGGAAAAGGGGTGGAAAAGGGGTGGAAAAGGGGTGGAAAGGGGGTGGAAAGGGGTGGAAAGGGGTGGAAAGGGGTGGAAAAGGGGTGGAAAAGGGGTGGAAAAGGGGTGGAAAAGGGGTGGA